AATTACAAAGTATGTAGTTTAAGAATAAACTTATAAAAACTAAAAATCATTTATTCACTTTTTGAAGGAGAATAATTGAACAGCATTAATTTTTATCCCTTGAATAAATGAATGAATTTTAGTGTTTCTTTAACAAAATTAATAATAAAATATATTGCAGAGTTAGTTGTATAAATTGCTCACTTCACGCGTTTACTGTCCGCCATTAGTTCAATAAAACGTGTAATACTTACGTGCTCTTACATTTTGTAGAAAGCGTGGCTGTATCGTACACTATTGTGTTCTAATTTGTTAATAGTTTTATGGTATGCGAGTGAAACGTGGTCAATGGACATTGACAACATTAACGGTTAGTTTTGAAGAGAATTCTCACCAGTTTTCTTTATCTGTATAGATATTGTATATGTATGAAGTAACTCTAGGATTTGTAGACTAAAAATGTAACAATTGTATTATAATACTAGCTGTGCCCGCGATTTTACCTGTGTGAAATTTATAGCCAATGTATTATTCTGATGTATAAGCTATATAACTAAAGTTTCAACAAAATCTGTTCAGTAGTTTCTGCGTGAAAGAGTAACAAACATTCATCCATACTCACAAACTTTCGCATTTATAGTATTAAAAATATACTAGTCAATAATTTTATGAAGGATTTAATTAATAGATTTGTTGTTTTTTTATGTACTTGAAATGGCAAATGAGATAGAAAATAGATAAATAAGATTTTAATTTGCGTTAAAAGGCACGTACAAAGTAGAGTAATATAAAGATCCTTGCCCTACGCAAATAAGGCAACATTACAGTGTGTTGTTGGCTCAAGCAGCAAACCACTAATTTCAGATATATTTCATTACGTCCTTTCTTTTATATGGCACGAGATATGTTCATCATCAGATGTAAGGCAAGAGATATTAGTTTCACGTAAATTTGAAATAAGTAAAAGTAAAACTAAATAAACTATCACTGAATTATCGATTCAACCATAACATCGGATGCCAATAACCGTTAACAAATAGTATGATAATAGCCGGCCAGTTAATCAATTACCGGTAAATCACAGAGTATCGGTTTTCACGAATCGAAAGTGGCTGCTTGGTGTTGAATACAGTCTAGTACATAATAGTGTTGTAATAACTATTGTGGCTCTGTTCTGGTACAATATGTACACAATACTTTGTTCTAGTACAAAGTTATATTTACACTGCTTTGTCTTTTAGTGAATTTATTGGCCGAGGCGTATAGCAGTATAATGTGTGTTTTAGCCTACCAACTATTTTTTATTTACAAATAAACTTTAGATTTTTAATGCACTTACTAATATTTTATAATAAAGGGTTGCCAAAATAAAAAGGCCACAACAATTTAGTTTAAAAGCAGGACTCCGTAATATAATCTTTAATAAAGTAGGGTAGCCAACCCCAAATTAAAACAACCAGAAAAAAATTGTTTATAAACAGGACACAGAATAGGTAATAAAGTTGCAATAGTTAATTTAACATGTAGTGAAAATAGGTGAAATGAATTTCAGGTAATTAAAATAACGATGTATTTTTAATAAATATTTGACTTTATTTTTAATTTAATATGAAATATTTAAACCGAAATCTAAAATTTTTATAACCAGAAATAAATACTTTTCTGGATGTTCCATGAACTAGATGAACTACAAAAACTAGAACATATCCTGGAAAACAGGACGGTTGACCGCTCTACAATAATGTAACCCAAACCCAAGAAGTAAATTTAAAAATATAGGAATAAAAACTTTTCTAGACGTCCCAAAACACTACAAAAACTAGGGTCCTGTGAAATAGGACGGTTGACAGGTTTATAATAATGTAAAACAAACCCATGCGGTAAAATTATAAAATCCAGGAAAAATACATTTCTAGACGTCCCAGGATATTACAAAAACAAAATGTCCTGGCAAAACAGGCCGGTTTTTTTTATGGATGACAATGGAATGGTGCACCCGCCTGCGCTAACGGTTTACGCTGGCGGGGCACCAGTGGGGGATGATAAGATGAGCATGAGGTCAGGTCAGTTAGCCCATCGTGACAAATTCAACAAGAATTTATAATTATCATAAGTCCACATACTAATAATCCCCTTTCAAACTAAACAGGCCGGTTCGCAAAAAAATTTTGGGTATAGGTTACTCTTCAACGATGTAACCCATACCCAAAACTTTTTTTGCATGTCCCAGGATACTATAAAAACTAGGACAGGATCTGGGAAAACAGGACTGTTGACAACTCTATGTACAATAAACCAAACCAAAGAAGTAAAAGACTACTGCCATAACACCATCAGTGTTTGAAGTCAATTAAATAATCAATTAAAGTCGTAATCTCACAAGAAATTGGTATACTATATAAACATTACACTATATAATAAACACACAGACCCACATTCAACCGCGAGACTCTCTCGGTGTTAGATTACATTTTCCACAGTGAAATTGTTCACACAGGGATTGTGTATCTAATGATATAGAAAATCTGACCTAGATGGTTCAGTTTACCAAAAGGAGAATTAATAAAAAAAAAATATAAAGCCAATAATGATAACCTGGACAATCCACGCAGCGCCATCTAGTCCAAATTACGTAGAGCTTGTGTTATAGGTGCACAATTAACCTGGACAATTAACACAGCGCCATCTAATCCCACAATAAGCAGAGCTTCAGTTATGGGTACTAAATGACTTATACAAATACTTAAATATATATCTTTTGTAAATACTTAATATATATAGAAAATACCCAGACGGATAAAAAAAAATATACTCATGAATACAATGTTTGTATCCTGTGATGAATCGAACCCGCGACCATTAGATGTATGTGCTAAATTGCTAGACCACCGACGCCGTTAGATATACATACTTTTTTCAGTTATGATATTAAAATGAATATATCTCACAGTTCCCAACAAAGATCTACACAGAAACCCCCTAAAAGTTGGTAGGATTACTCCCAATCTAGATAATTCCCATTTGTTAGAAATTGTCTTTAACTTTTGTATTGCAAAAGCTATAAGTTATTGTACTTGTTAAGGTTAGGCTCCAAAAAACTCGTATCCAGATCCGTAAAACGTAATTAATAAAAGAAATCTATTATGTAAAGTTAATTATTGTTAACGTTGCGCTCAAAAGGACTTCTATCCAGTATCGTAAAATGTACTAAATAAAAAAAATGTATTATGTAAAGTAAAAATGCCTATTTTATCTGCGATTGTCACAGCATCTCGCTCTCGTTTCGTACCAAAAGGCCTATTTCATTATTGTTTTTATACAATCACGCTAATTCTATGTAATTGCAATGAATTGTATTCGTCTTTAAGCAACGTTATCACATACTATCACGCGATACTATAATGTTCCACACCAGACAGAGATGCAACGAGATTTCTAAGATGAAAGACTATGCATATTACATGTCCTATTACTATCTTATATATAAAATTCTCGTGTCACAATGTTAGTTACCATACTCCTCCAAAACGGCTTGACCGATTTTTATGAAATTGTATATGCATATTCAATAGGTCTGGAAATCGGCTAGTATTTATTTTTCATACCTGTAAGTGATAGGGGTTGTCCACCCCTAAAATTATTTTTCTATTTTTTGGACAACGTTATTTATTTATATTTTTTTATTATGTGTCATTAAAAATACATACAACCCAAAATTTTCACCCTTCTATCACCAACCTCTATTTTTATAGCGTTATTAATTTATATGGCAAAACAACGTTTGCCGGGACAGCTAGTATCTTATAAACTTCTCGTGTCACAATGTTAGTTACCATACTCCTTCGAAACGGCTTGACCGATTTTTATGAAATTGTATATGCATGTTCAGTAGGTCTGGGAATCGGTATTTGTTTTGTATACCCGTAAGTAATAAGGGTTGTCCATCCCTAACATATATTTATAGACAATTTTTTTTAATACTTATAATGTGGTATTAAATAAATATATAAAACCCTAAATTTTCACCCTTCTACTATAACCCTATTTTTAATAGCGATTATAATTTATATGGGTAAACGTTTGCGGGATCAGCTAATTTTAATATATTTTTATTATTGTCTATTATTAATACATATTATATTTATATATATACCTACTAGCTATTGCCCGCGGCTTCGCTCCCGTTAATTTATCCCCTTAGGGGTGGAATTTATCAAAATCCTTTCTTAGGGAATGCTTACGTCATAGGATCTTTATGCATGCAAAGTCTCAGCCCGCTCGGTTTAAAATTGACAAAGTTTCATACAAACTTTCATCCCTATTTTAACCCCTTGGGAGTAGAATTTATCAAAATCCTTTCTTAGCGGATGCCTACGTCATAACATCTACCTGCATGCCAAATTTCAGTCCGATCCGTCCAGTGGTTTGGGCTGTCCGTTGATAGATCACTATATGTCAGTCACTTTGAGTTATATGTATTTAGATACACGGGTAAATTCATATTATTCCTTTTGCGACTATTATTATTATATTTTTTTATTATAGTATTTGTTTTATGTATTTTAATTGATCAAATTGTGGTAGTAAAATGTTTAAGTATAGATGTAGGTACAACTAATGAGTATATATATATATTCTGTATTTTTTATTGTCTGGGAACGAATTCGCTTACATCGGAATATGAGATGGTCTTTTAATCCGCTATACCAATAGTTGTCTAACCCTATCTACATATATTTATTGAGAGGTACCAGTCTATTTTCACATAATACCTAAATAACATTTTAAATATAAAAATGAGTATGTTTCTTTTACGGCTAAATCAAAATTCATGAAATTTATTATACTTGTAGTAAGTATTTTGGATGAAGAAGATCGCCTACATCACATCTAACTCCTACATAGTTCTCTCAATCACGCAAACGAAGCCGCGGTAAAAAACTAGTCTATAATAATATTGATTAACAAATTAAAACTATCACTTAAAAGATATGATCTCACAAAAGTAAAATCACACTTACCGTTATGAGTACACAAGTGGCGACACCGCACAGCTGCATTTTCACTAACACTTTTTAACACTTGAAGTGCGCGCACTCAGCTCGCCGCCGTGGTGTGGAGTGCTCAAGTGCGCTGTCATGGACACGACACGCGGTGGTCTGGTGAGCTGTGCCGCGCGGACCCATAGCTCTGATCATCTCGACCGTGAATAGTGTCTATAGAGCGGATATTACCACTTTCTCTTAATCGTAATATAATTATCTTTATGCTGTGTTTTGGGTCTAGGTAGCTAATATTGAAAAAGTGAGCACAATATCTATAATCTATGTAGGTCGCAGTGCTACAGATCCAACGCGCCTGATTATAGCCCAAAAAAAATCTAATTCTAGCTGTGCCCGCGGTTTTACCCGCATTTGTAGCCTATATGTTATTCTGATGAATGAGCTATATTATTATAAAGTTCAATTAAAATCCTTTCTTTCTTCTCATTATTAGTAAAACAGTACGTCGGTTTAAGCGATACGTTTTGGTAATCATAAGTGCTATATATAAGATCTAGTGAATTCAACACGATATGTCATGTCACGATATGTGGGTAATCCCTTTCAACGCAGTAAGCCAGTGCTTCGGGGAGCTGGTCCAATTCCCAGACGCTTCATGTTTCTCCAAACACTCCCATAACTCTGTCATCATCATCTGCTTCTTCCTTATCCCATTTATTTGGGGTCGGCGTAATATGTTTTTCGCTTCCATTCTCCCTGTTCGCAGTCATCACGTTATTTACTTCCTTTCTTACCATATTATCTTTCACACAACTCTGTATGTGTTCGTAAAAAACATCCAAAAAAATTTAAAAAAAAATTGCCACTTGTCACGTGACCTGACTGACTTCATTCTCATACTATCGACTTTCCTTGATGTCTTATCAGAGCATATTATGTATTATAGCTGGAAATATAGCTTACCATTATTATTAACATTTTTAAAACAGCACACGCTGTGGCGAGTTGATAGTGTATAAGTCTGTAGTACCTAGTATTGATGGCGTAATATTAAGAGACTAAAAGAAACAAGATGTTAATAACAGTCCTTGTTGCTAACAAACCTATATAAATAATTGTCAACTAATTGTAAAACAATTGAGGTGGTAATAACATCTCTATATACATACGTATTAAGCATTGGCACGCGCTCTCTCGACTTGTTTATTTATTTATTCTAATAAACAAAAGCCTTTGAACTGCATTTGAAATAGTTATAAACGGATAAGAACAATGTTTATTAAGATTGTAATAATATATATGAATCAATGTATTATAAATGGACGTAAAAAAATTATTTTGTCTTGCTAGTAATTGGTTCTATAAGAGATTTTGATCAAACACGTTACTGTAATAAATACCTGTTTAACCTCTCAAAGTTGACAAGAGGCTTACTTTATTAGCTGTATTTCGGTTTTTTATGGATTACTAGCTGACTCAACTTCGTCTGCATCACGCTTACTTAACATTTATCATTATATTTCGCTCTATTTACATAATATAGTTTTAAATTATAGCCTACATGTTATTCTGATGTATAAGCTATATTACTGTAAAGTTTCATTAAAATACGTTCAGTAGTTTTTGCGTGAAAGAGTAACAAACATACATCCATACTCACAAACTGTCGCCTTTAGAATATTAGTAAGATAATGGAATAATGGACTAACGGTTTACGCTGGCGGGACATCAGTGAAGGATGATAAACGACGGCGACCTCGGTGGTCTAGTGGTTTAGCACACGGCTTTACGACCGATGGTCGCGGGTTCGATTCTTCGCACGGCACAAACATTTGTATTCATGAGTATGATTGTTTGTATCGGTCTGGGTGTTTTCTATGTATAATATGTATTTATTAAAAATATATATATCTATGTATCAGTTATCTAGTACCCATAACACAAGCTTTACCTACCTTAAATTGGGTCTAGATGGTGCTGTGTGAATTGTCCTGAGATTATTATTATTATAAAATCAGCATGAGGTCAGGTTAGCTAGTCCATCCAGGCATGTGACAATTCACCACGATGGTTTCCAGGGAGAATCGCGTGGTTGCTGAAGGCGGTGGCACTGGCGGTTGGAAGATGAGATGTGGCAGTGAGGTTATCGGGTAATGTAATGTGGATTCTATTCTCCGCAATTAACTTCTCATTTGGGCCGTTGTGCGTGTAGGCCGAGACTACTAAAGTAGCCAGTCATGCTTCTCCCAGAAGCGCAGAAGTGTCCTGCTGTATTTATAGGCTTCGCAGAGCGGCCTCACTGTTCCGAGGATTTGTGTTCGTTGTGGGCCACTGCAAGCACTCCAGGATTACGTGAGCAGCCGTTTCTTCGGCTTCAAAGCAGCCCCGACAAAGGGGACTGTCTGTAGCACCGATTGTGTACCAGCGTTTATTTAAGGGACAGTGACCCATTATTGGCTCTATCTTTATTTTAAGGTTTTGCCTATTTAGGTTTTGCCTACTGTGACGTGGTCGTGTGGAATGAGTAGTCATGCTCACTAAAAGTCCAGACATGTGGCGGCGTGGTGGGCCGGGTCATTGGGCTCCCTAAAATATGGTCGAGCGCAGTGATGGCTGGCTCATCCGTCATACTCGTGAAACGAGTGCTGCTTGTAGGGACTGGTCTGCTCTTATCACTACGACTGATTTAATCTTATTGCATGATTATATTTGACCCAAAAAATTAGTGCTTGTTGGTAGTTTGTATTCACACGTTTCGACTTGTAAATGTAAACTTACAAGGATTATTTAAAAGAGCAACACACAAGTTTCTTGCTCGTTCTTCTTGTGATGAGACAGCTTTCCGAAGGAGTGGTAGATAAAAAACAAATTGTTATGACTATTCAAAAGTGCTTAAGTTAAGTTTATTTGAATAAATGATATTCTATTCTATTCTATTTAGGTCTAATATATTTCTAATTACGAGGTTATTGCAACAAGAACAATTGACTTGACGTCCCTATGATCAAGTTTTCAAAAGTGCGGTAATGATGAGATGTGAATTCATCTGCCAAGTTCCAATTTGCCGCCCTCAAAACTTGCCGCCCGGGGCATGGGCCCCGTGTTGGTCCCTAGATCCGGGGCTCATACATACAATTAACATCCATTGGTGGCTCTCTCTCTTTATTAGAAGAGGATTTACACTTCCACTGATACCATGCTCGTAATACGATATAATGTTTTTTTTTCAGATTTTTTTCGCCTATTGCAGACAGATTTTTTTTAAGCTTTGTTCCTCAATTGTTTATTTAAACTCTAGTTTATATGTAATATTCTCCTACCTGTAAACATATATACAATATTTATGTACGTACTAGATGTGGCCGCGGTCACCCGCGTAAAATTTATAGCCTATATCTTATTATAGTGTATATATAAGTAAATACAGAATTATTAAATAATCGTTTAAAATATATTCAGAAATTAAAGAACGATTTTAAAGTGCGTTTTAGGAATGAATATTTAGCTATATTAGCCCAAAAGACACAAAATAACAGAATACAAAAGGGATTACATGTTAAATTCGGTGATATTGTTCTTATTGAGATCAATGATATGAAGAGAACTACTTCACAGTTAACTGGCCGTTAGCTATTGTGGAAGAATTGTATCCAGGAGTTGATGGTCATGAAAGAGTAGCTCGCCTCAAGACAACATATGGAGAACGTATATATATCCACATAGATTATTGCAAAAGAAGCAATAGCGGTACTTCCTAAAACCACAAGATCGGGGCGTGTAATTAAAATTCCACAAAGATTACTCGTGTAAATAGTTACATGCCTAACATATTTGTATTTTCAAAATAAAAATTTATTTAGTTTGTTTTTAAATGCGCAAGCGCATGTTGCGCGCCGGAGTATGTTACAGAACTCTTTAAGAGTTCTTAGAATGAATTCTATCTAGTTGTATATTGTTTTACCTTTCTATACCATTCATTGTAATTGTTGTAAGATAAAAATAAATAATTTTCTATATATAGTTTTGTTTCGCCATCCTGATACCTAATCCGTCACAAAGGCTATATTACTGAAAAGTTTCATCAAAATCAGTAGAGTAGTATTTGCGTCAAAGATTAACAAACATCCATCCATATTTACAAACTTTCGCGTTTATGATATAAAAATATAAGATATGAATATATTTAGTATATAACGCCATCTATACAATACATTTTGTATTATTATGAACACTACAAAGCACATCGCTGATGGTAAGTTACTATTTGTACTAATTATTACTAGAGGGCGCTTTACGTATTTTTTTTTATAAAGGTGTAATAGGTTTATATAACTAGTATTATTTCATCATATAATCTTTTATTATATTATATATTATTATAGCTGTGCCCGCGACTTCATCTGCGTAGATAAATCTTGGATAGCATTTTTATTTATTTAGGGTAATTATAAAAAAGCCAAAGAAATGTTTCATCATTCTAATTTCAAAAATGGAAATTCATACAAATATTCATCACCTATTTTTTAGGAGTAAAATTTTTACAAACTTTGAATGTCATTTTTTATAAATTAATTAACAGCCTAAAAATAAGTTTTATGCTTATTAGCTTTAATAATAAAGATACTTCCATACAACCATTTATCACCCTTTCATACCCTTACAACCCTTTTTCACATTAAAAAGGAGGCTATGTCCTTTCTCAAGGTCTAGACTATGTGTGTACCAAATTTTATTTAAATCGGCACAGTAATTTAGGCGTGAAAGCGCGACAGATAGACATAGTTAGTAAGGATTACGAGAAGAATGATAAGATTTCATATCTTATATTTTTTTATATTTATTAGATACCTATATAATGGACTTTTATGGATATCATCATCCATAATAGATTTGATCATGCCTCACTCATGGTATAGCTCCATGCAGTCCCTCCCCCCCTCACCTCAATCAGAACTTGTCTCCCCATCGCTAGCAATGTAATCAGGTCAAATTCCACGTAGTCCCCCCAGGCGACAAGAAGAAGATTCGTGGCTAATTATGCTAAATTGCTGAATTCATTATCGTACAATCCTCCACTGGGGCCCCGACAGCAAAATCAATATCAAAATATCTTTGTTCATGTAGGTCTATTACACACTCTTATGAT